CAAGTACAAATGAAGCTTCACTTGCTTGCCCACCGCTCACATCCTGCTGTATAGCACAGCTCCTAACAGGGATTGGGACCCCTACTTAATTGAACACCATTTCCTTGGGGGCACCCACCTTCCTGAGGAGGGATGGCCCCTTCTGCACATCAAGTGCAAGCACAGCAGCTGGGCAGCTTCCCTTTCAGAACCTCCTTGTTGTTTCCAGGCTGACAGATCACCACACACCTGGAAGGAGGCACCACCCAGCACACAGTCTATCAATGGCAGAGCAATATGCAACATGTGCAACAGCAAGAAATAATGGAGAAACCTTGCCACCACGTCCATGAGCATTTTGATTTCTTGTTTCATTCTAAGCATGTTTTGAGCAGAGCTGGCTCGAGCCGGGGGTTGGACTAGATGACCTGGGAGACCCCTTCTCTCACTCTGTTTCTCTGTTTATATGTTTCCAAATGGAAGGGAATGGACAGAAGTCTCAACCCTGCAGATCCCTCCCCTCCCCACCCAGCTCCCTCCAGGTTCAGCTCAGACTCTCCTGGGCACGGGGTCATCTTGGCAGCACCCATGCCTAGATTTCTGCAGCCACTGTGAACATGTTTTTATGATGCTTGAGATTCTGCTGTTGACATTCTTCAGCGAAAAACATCTCAAGGGAAATCCTTCAAGGTTTGGCAAGAATTGGAAGGAATCACTGTGACTGCAATCATTCTAAGGGGCAGAAGCCTCAGCACTGCAATTTCCTGGACTTGCAGCTGGTCCAGGAGTAGTGCAGCGAAAGGAAAAAAGTCTCTGCAAAACTGCTGAAACCACACTGGATTCTGTACAAAGGCAGAAAATGGACTATGTGGCTTAGCGAGGCCTTTAGGCAGAAACTGCACTAGCCAAAGTGGTCAAGATTCTCCTTTAAGTTGCAGGAATGTCCTGTCAGGATCAGGCTTCCTTTCCCAATAGCTTCTGTCCTGATAACCAGCATCTTCTGAAAACCTCAGTCTGAGTAACAAGGCTGAAGAAGATTCCCCATTCACAATATTCTATTTGGGCAAGGCATGAAAAGTGATCTCACTCGGTAAATTCAGTGAGGACCAAACATTAAATGGCCCTCAGTCCACACTGAACTTAAAACTGCCCCATATCATGAGATGAGACAACTGAACAGGACCATCCATTCCCTCCAGTTTACACCACACAAATTAATGCATGATGTCACTTGATCATATTCGTGAATACAGGCATGAAAATTGAAATGCCAAACTCAGTGTCAAGCTGCCCTTAGATCCAGAAGTTCCTCTGTGGGATGGCCCTGAATTGTGTCTCGTCCACATTTCTCAGGCCTTGGTGGACAGGCTAAGGGACTGGGTTTCTCCACCCTTTCCCACTTTCTCTTGTTGGACATCTACAGGAAGAAAGGAATGCAACAGGAATATTTGCTTTCTGGGCACCATCAGGTGAAAAGTTTGTGCCTGTCCTCTGTTTTTAAGATGAATGAACTTTCCTGTCCTTTGTAAGTGTTGTGTGTGTGACCTCAAATGCAAAACCAGGCTTTGTTCTGTCTGGCTGTGTGCATTAAACCCCAGCAAAAGATCTCAACATGTTCAAGGCATTCTGGAGGGCAAGAGCCTCCTTTTCAGGTGTTCTGTTGCCTACAATTACCTGGCAAAGCAGCAGGTCTTAGGATATAGCAAGGCTAAAACTCAACAGGGAGAGCTTCTTTTTTACTGAGGAGTGGAGAGAAGGTGGTTCAACAATGGAGGTGCTCCAACCATGTTTGCTTTGTTTGGGAAGACACAGGTTCTCCTCCCCACTTGGGCATGAACCTCGAAAGACGATCTTTTGCCAGTCACAGACATTACAAGGTTGTTGTTTGAAGGATCAAATATAAAGCACGACCTTGTGAGCTGCTCTGGTCACCACACAAGAAATGATGAAGAGTGTCAATTGAATGTAGGAATAACAGGAGCCTGTTGACAAAACAGATTCAGCAGCAGGGCTGGCTGGATATATTCATTCCCTTACTGTAGCAAGCCAATAGCTAAAATTCTCTGGATGGTTCAGAAAAATTACAAAGACAAAAATACAGCAAGGAGAAAAAACGTAAAACTTTCAAAAACCTGAGACCCCAATTACAACCCACAGTGAAATCCAGCAATATGGTAATGACTGAAATCTACTCTTACAGGTCTAAAGCAAAAAGTACTGAAGGAACTTTGACGCTTACAAGATAAGTCTGCACATGCTACCAAAAGTCACAGTGTACATAGCAGGTGAGCCTCTCCAGAGGGTTCATTCAACCTCCTGTAGGCCACTACTGAAAATACAATCCTGGCAGCAGATGTGAAGAATCCAACTCCCAGGTCCAGTCCCTTCAGTCACATGGAATCTTTGCTTTTGGTCATGAGATGTTCCTTTGTATTCAGATCAGGCCGCAGGACAATGATGTAGCACTTGGGAAGAAAGATGCAACCCAGCAGCCCAGCACTGGAGGCCAAGATGGAGAAGACCTGCACAGCCACCATGTACTTCCCCTTGGTGCTCAGGTAGGAGGGCACGAAGGACACCCAGACACTGCAGAAGACCAGCATGCTGAAGGTGATCAGCTTGGCCTCATTGAAGGCCCCGGGCAGCTTCCTGGCCAGGAAAGCCACTGTGAAGCAGATGGCAGCCAGGAAGCCCATGTAGCCAAGGGCAATGTAGAACATTGTGAGAGACCCTTCATTGCATTGTAGGATGATGTGTCCAGACTGGGAGTGCATGTCAGAGTCAGGAAAAGGTGAGGCCATGGCTAGCCAGATGGAGCAGGTGACAACCTGGACACTGGAACAGGAAATCACAATGGAGATGGCCAAACTCTTTCCCAGCCATCTCTTCACCCTGTTCCCTGGTTTGGTGGCCAGGAAGGCCAGCACCACCATGATGGTTTTGGCCAACACACTAGAGGTGGCAACTGAGAAGATGATACTGAAGACTGTTTGTCGGAGCAGACAAGTTGCTTTGCCTGGCTGGCCAATGAATAGGAAGGAACACAAAAAGGAAAGCAGGAGGGAGACGAGGAGAATGTAGGAGAGGTCCCTGTTGTTGGCTTTGACAATAGGAGTTTCTCGGAATTGGATGAAGATTCCAAGCGTAATGCCTGTGCTTAAAAGCCAAATGAGGGCAAAGGAAGCCAGGAGAATCCCCAAAGGTTCCTCATAAGAGAGGAAGGTAATTCTCTTGGGGACACAGCGATCTCGGTCCTTGTTTGGGTGCTGATCTTCAGGGCACCTGCTGCACTGCTCTGCATCTGGAAAGATGGGAACCCTCTTCAGCATTGACACTATCCTAAACAGCATCTACTTCATTTGGGAAAGAAGGGAATGTGTGTGTTCTGGCAGGGACCAAAGCCAAACTCCTCAATAAGGGGGCACACCTTTTCTTTGCAGCCTCTGTCTGTGGAATCACCAACTCATGAAGCTGTGAAGTTTCAGGACATGCCACCCCATCAGGACATCAGAAGTTTCAGGACATGCCACCCCTGGAGGACAGGATGGAGTTCCTGACAGTTATAACTAAAGAGTCAACATGAGCTCAGAAAAGTAACAATATACTTTGGCCTTTTGGGCTAAATGGGGTGGAATATTCATCAAATAAATAAATAAATAAATAAATAAATAACTGGTTCAGGTAGTATTTCTGCAGTTTTCTCATCTGCTTCTCAAGAACAAGTGGTTTTTTCAACCAAGTTCAAGTGGTAGGAAGTGGCCAGCTTTCATTTCATTTGATTTATTTTTATACTGCCTACAATGGAAAGTCATGTAGATAGGTCCACCAGTTGCTAAACAGGGTCAGGATCTGACAGAAGTTCTCACAGGGGTTGCTTGAACAGCCAACTCACAGAGGCAGGATGGAATGGGCATGCTTGGAGCACCACTTGGGTACTGTCCTGACTTCAAAAGCTACCCTCAACAATCATGTCCTAAAGCGATCACCAGCTAATTCCTAAGAAAAGAACTTCATCACAATTGAGATAAAGCAAGGAAGAAGAGAATCAACTCAGCTAAAATGGCTAAGCAAATTAAGATGTCTTTCCTTGCCACTGGGATCATATCACCTTTGGCAGTGCCTAAGACATCCTGGGTAAAATGCTCCATTGAGAAAGGGACACAACTGAAAAGACTCCCTGCTTGCTCACTAAACTCTTCCTTGCATTAGCTCATTTCCAAATGAGCCACCTATTGCACATAGAGAGTTTGGGCAGACTCCATTTGCCCAACACCCAAAGGAAAAACCCTTTCCTCTATGGAGACCCACCTTCCTGAGTGGAGATGGTCCCTTCTGCACACGGGGCACAAAAGTAGCAGCAAGGTGGTTTCCCTTCCTGACTCTCCTTTGCATAACCAGGGCGACAGCTCTCCACGCACCTGGAACGAGGCGTCACCTGGCAGTAAAGAGGAGGAGAAGGAGCAGTGTGAGGAGTCCATTTCTTGGCAGGGAATTGGTCAGTCTGCACATTCCTAGTCAGATGTCTACTCCCAGTAATCACCAGACCCTGTTTGAAATAATTTTTGAGTGTGGCCAATTTATGTTCTACACTAAAACACTTTCATGCATTCAATTTTCTGTGTACTGAAATCCTTCATTTCATGTGGAATAACCAATACTGAACTGTACAATATGGCAAGATCATAAATGGAATTGATTCACAGTATCCTTGAGAAACAGAACTGCAGTTCAGGAAAGCTTTCCAACAGGACCCATACAATGTGTTGGTGTGGGGCAGCATGATGTGCCCTCATTCATCATTAATAATTTTTAAGAAAATGGGCAGAAGTCTCCCAAATGGCTGTTCTTTAAGAGGATTTCACATCTGGCTACAATGCAGGTGAAGTCCCTCTCTTCTTAGGGAAGCTAAGTTCCACACCTGAGAAGGGCCTTTCCTGCTCTCTTATTTCTTTATTTACATGAAATTATAGATGCCTTTATTTGCCAAGTCCAACCTAGAAAGCTTTCTGTCACTTCCACTCTTCCACCACCATCATTAGCATCATCAAGAAGAAGAGGAAAACTCCAAATGAACCACTATCATTTCCAAAGAATTATGAAGTTGTTCTTTTTCTTCTTAATGGATTTTTTCCCTCTACAATTCTGGGTATCATATCAGTACATTTGAAAACTCCAAAATGGACAAAGTAAATACTGTGAATATAATCTAACTTGTCTTTAGCAAAGCTTTTCACTTGGTACCCCACAACATCCTGATAAATGAAAAAACAAAAAAACAGTGGACTGGATGGTAGGACTCTTAGGTGGCCCTACAACCAATGACAGAATCAGACTCATAGAGTGCTCATCAGCAGCACCTTCTCTAAATGGATAGAGGTCTGAAGTGGGCTCCTGCAGGGGTCATTTGTGGGCCTGGTGCTCTTCAACTTGTTCATTAATAAATTGGAGAAGGAAGTTCAATGAATACTTATTAAATTTTGAGAAGGTGGGCTTTCTAACATGCAGGAAGATAAAAACTGAATTCCTATGTTCTTAGAGGATGGAGCAGTAGACTCAAAGCAGTACAATGAGACTGGGCAAAGTTTTGAATCTAAGAAGCCAAATGCATGGCTATCAAATGGGGAATGCCTGGCTCAACAATGTCACAAGGTAGAAGGATCTTGTAATTATGGTGGATCACAAGCTGAATTTGAGTCAGCAATGTGATGTGGCTGCAAAAAGGACAAATGCCATTTTAATAGCAAATGCTGCATAAATGGAAGACTCACTTCCAAATCTCATGACATCATAGTTTCACTTTACTAAGCACTGACTACACCTTATCTGAAGTGCTGTGTCCAGTTCTGGGCACCAATGTTGAAGAAAGATGTAGACAACTTGGGCAGGGGTCAGAAGAGGGCAGCAAAGAAGACCCATGATCGGGAAACAAAGCCCAGTGAGGAGAGACTGAGAGAACTAGACTGCTTTAGCCAAGAGAAGAGAAGACTGAGGGGAGATAGGAGAGCCTTCTACATGTGCATGAAAGGCTATCACAGAGAAGAACAACAATATCTCTTCTCTCTCAACCCAGTGTGTAGGAGACAGAACAATAGACTCAAGATGAAAAAAGCCAGATTCAGGCAGGATATCAGAAAATTATCCTAACTGTTCCAGAAAAATGACAGTTGGACCAGGAAGGCAGTATGCTCTCCGACACTGGATGAATTCCACATGCAACAAGTCAGTCATGTGAGTGGGATGGTGTAAATTGCTGTTCTGCATCAGCAGGTGGTTGAACCTGAGGGCCTATAAGGCCCCTTCCCAAACTATGATTTTATGATTGTGTGAACATGCAGTTTGTGTCTTAATCTATCCACAAGAAAAGTGTCAGCTTGCGTTTTCAGCCACTAGGAAGTCAAGCTTCAACACTGATGTAATGCTGCCATAGCTAGGAGTCCCATTCAGAAGCTTACTTGCTACATCACACAATAACCACTGCCTATGTGCCAAGGTAGCTCCACAAAGGTTGCATGGCATTAGTATAGACATGAGGTTCCCTATACAAGGAGAACATAGGCCAGGCTGTAACTCAAGGGTGCAATGGAGCTGACATATGCCTCCCCCCCCAGAGATGCAGCCACTTGCACCAGTTCCCAGAAGTCACTTGGACCTCTGCTGCATGTGATGCATCCAGAAGCACCTCCTCTTCATTCCCAGGGAAAGGAATGCCATTTGGAGCACACAGGCTCCAGCATTTCTGTGAGTCCAAACTAGTGAGCCATGCAATCTGCAACTTGACCTTATTCGGTGCACCCAGACAAAGCTTCAGAAGATGCCTGTCTTCCCTGGATTCCACTCGCAGGGCAGAAATGGAGCTGGCTGTGCTCAGCTTTCCAGGGAAACTCCATGCAAAATCTCCCAGTGACCAACAGAGCAGATCAGTGCATGAGGTGAATCCTCCTGGAGTCAAGAAGGAGCACTGCAGCATCTCCAATAAAACAGCCAGGGAGGGTGAAGTTGGAGTCCGCTTGGTGGTATGGGACAAAAACACTTGAGAACAGCTCCATCCTTGGACATTTGCAAAAGAACATGGTAGTCCATGCCTCTCACTGGCCTTTCACCTCATCCATCACAATCTCACTGCATCATTCCAAGTGAACTTTCCATATTTCCTCCTTTTGCAGCTAAATGTTCAACTCTCTGCATGGAGTAGCTGTTGGCTGATCTGGGTCCACTCTGGAGGGTGCTGAGTGCTGAGTGACCTGGCAGTGTGGAATAGACTAGGAGGGTCAATGCAGAGGTTTCATCATGCCATCTACTGTGTTTGAGAAGCCAGAGCAACAATCCCCAAGCCAGAGCAGCAATCCAAAAGCCAGAGGGAATGCTCCCCTGCCTCTGCTGCACTGAGGAGATTCCTTTGGCAGGATGATTTTTTTAATATGTGTACAAGCTCAAGTCCAATGATGTACGAGGCACTTCCTTCCTAAGGCAGGGGTGCGATGAATGACAATGGAGGAATTATATGTATTGTCTCACAGATTAAAAGATCCTTACTGATCCACATGCAATAACAACAAAGAAATTATATCCCCCACCTTGTTAAAATGTCTGGGCCACACAATGGCTTCTGGATTGATGCTGAGCTTTCTTCCAGGAAATTCCCCTCTCATCCATCTCCCAATGGTCACCATTCTAGGTGTTTGATTGGGGAAAAGCACCCAGTTCACAATATCAAAATTGGCTTCCAGCTGTCCATGCTCGTCCAACTGCACCCCATCAATGGAAGTGTTAGAATGCCAGTTTCCTCTTAAGATATTGTGGAACTAGAATGGCAGAGAAGAAAATGTGTTAATCTCATTAATTGATTGATTGATTGATTGATTGATTGATTGATTCATCCTTCCATCTATCCTTTTATTAGAACTCGATGCCACTCCATAGCCCTAGGGCTCTTTGGTTTAAAAGGATGTTGGATGTTTCAGCCATCTTTGTTCTGAGCCCCAACCTGCCATGTACATAAGGAAATGTGCATTTTTTCTGCCCTCAGATTTCCTAGCTGAGACATCTTCTTGAATCTCCTTCTTTTTTCTCCCTTTGTATTCAGCAAATTAGCAGGATCAATGATATCATGCAGAGACCTTCCCCTTTCACAGAAACACTGCATTGCAACCAGGTCCCTCCAGTTATCTCTCACATTCCTCTTCCCAACCTGCCTGGTTGTGACTGAAAAGAGGAAAACTTAAAGCCCTATAGAAGCCCTTCTTTGGAGATTGTTGCCCTTAGGAATGTGATGCTACCAGAGCCAAAAGTGGGCATGAGAGGGGTTGCCTTGAGAACAAGATTCACCATTGAAGACCAGCCAATATGCCAGCCTTATTATCCTGATGGGTTTCATGTCTCCTTCTCTCCCCTCCACTGTTGGTCTCTACAGACACTTCACAAGAAGGCAGGACTCCCTAGAGAAGACCATCCTGTCAGAAAGAATTGGAAACAGAAGTTGAAAGGGAAGTCCAAATATGAAATGCACTGATTTTTTAAGGAAGCCAAAGCCTTGAGTGTAGAACAGCTGAGTGGAGCTGTCCTGCACAGCACATTGTGGAGGGCTTTTGTTCACGGGGTTACATGAGCCAGAGATGACTTGATGTCACATAACATACACAAAAGAAGAAATAACAGAGATGGAGAGGACATAACAATATCAACTGACAAATAGCCAGTGCTATCTAGACATAAGGAGGCATTCGGTTGGATATGGGATAAGTCCTATATTCACAGGGCTTCACAGAACTTATCTCATCAGCATGTTGCCAGTCTTTTCCTCCAGGACCCATCCTGACATTGCCAGCATGCAAGTTACTGATTCAAAATAACATGTTTTGTGGGGTGAAATGGCTGAGGGTTCAACTGCTGCACCCTGCTCTCTCTGCATTCTTTCTAAAGCAGGTGTGGAGGTTTGAGCAGAAGCAGTGAACTGCAGTACCAACAGCATCCCAAAACTAAAGCTAGCAGGTTTCCAAGGAGGTTTCCAAGGAGGAGGATATCAAAGTGGAATGGTAGAGCAGGGAGAAGAACTGGGTCAAGAACTCCCACTTTCTCAAGGAGGGTCATCCATCAGGGGACCATGGGCACCCTTCACATTTCCTGCAAATGCCCTGTCAACACCTTCTGGAGAATCTGAGCAAGCAAGGAGTTATGAGCAACAAGGTAGCAGTTACCGACATTTATGCAGTTGAGAAAAGATTTTGTAAGAAATGGTAGTACTCTGTGTAGGACCCTCGGTTTGTGTAAGGACGTTTGTCTCACTCCTGCTTTTTGGTAATCAGCACAAGGGGAACTCATCAAAGGTGAGAAGTTTCACTGCAAGACCTTTGCCAGCTCATCCACGGGAAATCAGTGGAATGGATAGGGCCAGCTGGGTGAGAGGCTTCTGAATGGCCTCTGACGACATCAGGAAAGAAATCAAAAGGATGCAGAAAGTAATGTCAGGAAACAGGACACAGCAATCTGAGGGGCTCAGGGGAAAGTGCAAATGCTGCCAGGACATTTCTGAATACAAGTCCAGGTAGCATTTTGAGGGTAGAGCAAAGACAGAAGACTTGGCTCAATATCCACTTCTGAACTGACATGCCATCGGCAAGAATTGTCATGTAATGCATGCTAGAACAACTGAACCCTGAATCTTGTGCCAGTTGCTGTGATACTACAAGAGGAAAAGGAATACCTGCCAGGGCTGCAGCTTCTGCTTATGCAGGCTTTCTCCTCTTCCAGCCACCAATACCTGTTTTGATTGGGATGAAGATGCAGCATTCAAGGCACCAGCTACCATTTTGACAATGCTGTAATTAATGAAGCTGTCTTGAGAAAAGATTCTTTCCCGCTCTTCCTGGGGGAGCATTTCCAGGGTCTCCTTCTCTCTGTAGCTTGACCAACTTTTCATGGAAAAAGCATGCTCTGAGTAGAAACAATGGAAAGCATTCTGCCAAAACCATATACTAGCATGAGAAAGTGGAATGTAATGGTCAAGTCTTGCTTTTTGGGAGGTCTTCATAATGAATGACAAAGACCCATGGAGGACATGAAAGGAATCAGGTCTGGGCATTAAGTAAATGTTGAAGTCTTGCACAATGGTGGTGATCCAGACCTTTCTGCCAATTTCTTCACTTCCAAGTATATTATGCATCTCGAATATTGGAAAACAGCTGTAGAGAGAGTCTGCATAGAAAACAGCTATATTCACTTCACCCCACGGAGCAGAGACATCATTTTGAGACATTCCAAGTACATTTTTTAGAGGTAGTCTTTTTGTGAAGGCGATGCAGATTCCATGATTAGTCATCAATAGGATCATCAACCTCACAAATTTTTCGCCACTTTCAGTGTCCAGTGCAAAGAGACCGATCCACATCCAACCAAAACTTGCAACCAGTTGAACGATGCCCAAGTATAAGGTCTCTTCCTTTGGGGCCACCTGGTAGATGAAAGGAAACTGAGTGTGGTCCTCTAGAGCAGGGTTAACCAATCCATAACTGACCTAATGAAAAGAGGAAGTTCCTGGCAATTTGCTCTCTTTTTTCTTTAGGAAGAACATCAGAAACATCTAAACATGAAACATAAACATCTAAACAAGCAAAGGCCCATCACAAGGGAAGTGGAAGTTGAGGAAGAAAGGAGTGGAAAAGCATCCCAAGGATCAACTCAACAGTACTAATTCAATATTTGTTTGCGGAAAGTGGGGCCCTTCTCTGCAGAAAGCCAAGACCTCTACCAACCCAACAACAGCATATCATGTTCCAGGACAAGACCAGAATGGATGGGACTAGATAAGCATCCCGAGATGGCTCTCCCTTTCCACTTTGGAGGGACAAGTGATTTTCTCCTTTTTCAAAGAACTTGGCTGATGGAAGGGATTCCATTACTGGACCATTGCTGTTCCCCAGAGGAACACCCTGAAATGGTGGCATCCCTTCAATAAGAGTTTTGCTGATTTTCTGTATTCCAAGGGCAATTTTGCCTGCTTGTATTTGCCTCCCACTCCAAAGCACTAGTTCTCAGTTTCAGCATCCCCTGTAGAGGACATATTTTGTCAGTGGGTGACATCACATTAGAAAGAAGGCTGAGCTCAGCCAATGCCAGCTGGATTTCAGTGGAACTGGCCTCCCTTCTCCTCTGCAGTCCTACCTGAGGAATCTTGTAGATGCCTGACATGGCTGGAATAAGAGTGGAGATGTCTGAATCTGTTCCTTCAAGAATGGCCACCGGGTTCTTTGTCTTCTTCCTATTCCCGCAGCTGAAGTTGGGAAGGTGGCTGTCCCCAGCAGCAGGCAGGCTGAGCATGGCATAGCATGTCGTCCTTGCATCATAATGGCTCTCATAGATGTTGTAGCCAAGGCTGAAGTTGGGTAGGAGCATGGAATTCTCATTGATCTCATGAATGGAAAGCAGGAAGGACAACACATGCCAGTACCTCACACCTCTGAAACTGCAATGGAAGAATGATAGAATCTGCGCTTGTTTTTTGAGAAGGTTCAGAGCATTCTGAATATATAAGGAGAAGGATTTCTTCAAACGGCATACAGATAAACAATGGCATTCATTTGCAGCAGGTGTAGTCATGGCTAGGGATATGAAAGGAATATGAGTAGTGCAGAAAATCCATTGGATTCCATGGTTTTGGCTTCCAGGTTCAATATCTATTCACATCAACCAAGAATCGAAGTTCCTTCTGAACACATGCACCATTTGTTGGATGTTCCACAGGAAGACAGTCCCACATGCTGCACAATCAGCATGGTTCTTCCATGCCCACCACTGACAGGGGCAGCAGACAGTGGGGATGTAGAGTTGACCAATCTCACCTGGGCTCAGCTTACTTTGCAGGACTGGGCCAAGCATGAGAGGGAGGGCACAGATTCTGTAGCGGTGGAGTCCAAATGTTTTCATAACAACCCGTGTCTGGGACAGTAACTTTGGTGGCTTTAACAGGAGAAACCCCTGGAGGAGATGACCAGTTCTGTTGGCTCTCCATTGCGTCTGTTATCAAAGGCCAGGGTGGAGATAAAACTTCATGGAATCCATCTACCCACCATTTGCAGACTTCCTCTTTTGCTCAGCCTAGTCTTCAAACTGTCCTTACCTGAGAAGAAGTGTGTGAATGCTTGCAGACCACCACTTGTGCAAGGTTCCACATCAGGTGTGATCACTTAAATGTGAGCTACTTCTGGCTTGTGAGGGGGATGCTGCCAACAGTCATGGGGCATGATTCCCAGGGAGCCCACCACCAACACCTGCCTTCTTCCATTGCAGCCACTCAAAGGGCAGCTTCAGTTATTGAGTGAGGGGATGCTACTTGCCAAGGTTTGTGGCTCACTTCCTAGAGAGCTCCTCACGAGTGCTGGGCACACTCACCAGGAGCAAAGTGAGCCACAGTCCACAGAGCCAAGCTGAAGGAATGGGATGGATTTATTCTACCTAACAGATTGTTCACACATCCCTATTAGAGGCAGGACCATATGAACATCTATTGCTGAAAAAACAAATGGAGTGGTTTGATTGTTCTCCTTCCTACTTTTTGGATTCTCACTACAAGTCCATTGTCTACTGTCTATACGAAATGCAGTCCTAGATGACCATTGGTCCCGTGCATCATGGCTCTCATTTATGTTTTCTTGGAATGCTGAAGGGTAGATGAGAAGTCCCAACTCATGGTTTGCCACAATTCCTGAAGGAGTCACAGAAACTAATTTGCACCGAGAACACTCACAGACACAGTCATTCATTTCCTCCCCAGCAGAAGTTTTTGATTTTCCCATTCACATGGGAGTGACAGAGATGGAACATTCAACTGGCTGATATTTTTCCAGCAGAGAATGTCAGGGAAAGACTTGGGAAGCACAATCTCCTCTCCTCCCCAAGATGCCCAGTGGAAATAATTTAAGGAAACTTTCCCATCCTCATGCCAAGGAACCTTGCCTGGCCTTCACAATCCTTGATCACTCCACAGAATATCCACAAGGGTTTTCATGCTAACTCAGCGAGAGGAGCTGAAACTCAGAGACATCCAACTCATGTGCTGCTGCATAATAGGCAGTGCTGCAGGTGTGGCAGGAGAACCATGTGATGGGAGCAGTGATTTGGCCAACCCCAAGGAGAAGCCCATGTGGCTTCAGCCTGGGTTCTTCCATGCAAGTTGAAGCAAACAGATGTTTCCCCCTAAACATCAAACCATGTAAGTAGTGGCCAGACACATGCGAGGCTGCTGGTCAGGATTCTTCCTATGAGTCTTCAGAAAGCACAAGATGGGCAAAGTACAGAGCAGAATTCCAAAGGGGTGACTGTGCGGCCAGATCTATGGGCTGTCTTTTGGAAAGGGGCAGAACTGCAGTGCTGGATGGCAAGCATGTGAGCATCATGACTTACCTCTCCCTCAACTTGCCTGGTGAGTCATAAAAAGCATAGAATGGCTGATCAGAAAAAGGTTGTGAAGAAATAATGCTGCTGATCATGTAGTCTCCTGGCCGATAATAGTTATATGCTCCTTCCATAAACATATTCCTAGGACAATTTGTCTTCTGCATCTCAGAAACTGCATGAGGCAGCAGCAGAAGCAGTAGGAGCACTGGCATTGGGATACCTTGGCTCAATGCACTCATGCCTCATGTGCCTGCTCTTCTCACCTGCACGTCCCAGCTCAAGTAGCATTCTCTCACCCTGCAGTCCCACAGGTAGACTCACATGTGAGCTAAAGGGGGTTTTCTAACTTCACCTGGGCACAGTCCCTGCATCTCTCTGCCTGCTTTGGACCTCAAGTGCACTGCTGAGGTTGCTCACATGCAATTTGCCAGGAACAAGGCACACCATCTCCTGACACTGCCCTTGATTGTGCAATGGGCTTTATTTGTCTGATAAGTAATTGTAAGAAGGCCTCCAGAGTGTTGGCCAAAATCAACAATTGTCATTCTGTTTTTGCAAATCTTGGGGGAGAGATATCCCTTCTGCTACACAACATATTATGCATCTCACAGCACAGAGTCATGGAGGGTGAAAAACATGTTAATCCTCTTTGATGAGCCTGCATCTTTTGGAAGCAGAGGATGCAGAAATGGGAGCTTGGCCACCTGCAAAAGAACCCAGATAAGGATGATCTCTTGACAACCCAGCTGTGGGCAACATGTGGCCCATCTTTGTTACAATACATAGCCATGTTGGTTTTCCAAGTGGGTCAATGTGGCCCTTCCACTCCTTCTCTCTTGGCACCATAAGTCACCAGTTGCTCTGGGAATGGCTAGGGTTGAGTGGGGCCTAGCAGAATACACCCCTCCAGCATGGAGGGATTCTGCTCTTGCACAGCCCACTCTTAGAAAATGAGGCAAGTTGAGAGGAAGTTTGCAAACAATCACAGAAGAAAGCTTGCATAACAGGGAGTGCTGCTCAGGCAAAGCCAGGGTACCCAGCAGATTCCTACCCCAATTCCTTCCAATCAATTTCGCACACAACACACAACTTCACACTACTTCCATCTCTGCCATTGACAAGACTTCCAGTGAGTTCATCCTATCTGTGAATAGCTTTCTTTGGTAACTGAGGATTTGGTAGCACTGAGTCGTTGCATCATGGAGCGACTCCACTCAGCTCCAACTCACCCAAGCATCTGACACACTCCGGTCACCCATAGGAGTAGTGGCACCTGTGGGCAGAACATCATCTTTCATACTTTAAAGAATGTATCTTTTTATTCATTTTTTTATTAGAGTTTGAAAGGTTTTGTGGTGGTACTGGATGTTTTCTAGAAACAATGTTCACAGCAAGCATCCTTCCAAGAATGATCTCCCTGGTTTGTTGGGGCAATTTTTGCACAAAGGAAGGGCTCCTTTAAAACTGAAAAGACCCTAAATATTTGGGCACCACCCTAAGGGAGGTTCATGCCTTGTAAGCAGTTGCAAAAAAAGACTTGTGGTCCACTTAACTACCATTTTAGCATTTGCAGTGGATTCAAAAGGGGGTTGCCTGTTCTACAAATGGGGAGGGGGGCTCTCAGTTAGGTTTTTGAGATTTTGGAAAGCTATTTTGGAAAGCTATTTCTTTCATCTCAAACATAAGATGTGTTTCCTATCCAAATGGTGCTGTTGGGTGTGTGTGATTAAGCTTCTTGCACAGAAATTAGATGACATCTCTAATTTTGACTACGAGACACTCCTGCTTATTCAGAGCAGGCCTCAAGAAAATGATGTAGCACTTGGGATGGAAGATGCAGCCAAGTAACCTGGCACTGTAGGTCAGGATGGAGAAGACCTGCACAGCCACCATGTACTTGTCCTTAGTGCTGAGATAGGAGGGCACAAAGTCCCCCCCGGACACTGCCTAAGACCAGCAAGCTGAATGTGATCAGCTTTGCTTCATTGAAGAACTCTGGCAGCTTCGTGGGACAGAAGGACACAGTGAAGCAGATGGTAGCCAGAGCAGTGTAGAACATTGCCACAGAACCTTCACTGCATTGCAGATCTATCTCTTCAGGCAAGGAATGTATTTCAGATTCAGGGAATGGCAACCAGACTTCCCGCCAGATTGTGCATACGACAACCTGGACACTAGAGCAGGAAATTGCGCTGGAACATGTAAAACTATTCTGCAACCATCTCTTCACTCTGTTGACAGGCTTGTGGCCAGGAAGGCCAGCACCACAGTGATGGTCTTGGCCTGCATGGAAGACACAGCCACGGGGAATATTATGCTCAATGTGCTTTGACAGAGCAGGGAAGTTGCTTTGCAGGGCTGCACAATGAAAAGGAACGAGGACTAAAATGAAAGTGGGAGGGAAGCCAAGAGGACATAAGAGAACTCCTTTCCTTTGGCCTTGAGTACTGGAGTTTCTAGGAATTTGATGACGATTCCTAACACAAACTAAGTGGTCAAAGAAGAGATGTGGGCAAACAAATCCAGAAGGATACCCAAAGGTCCTTCATAGGAGACACAGGTTATTTCCTGGGTATGCATTTGTCCTGGTCTTTGTTAGGTTGCTGATCTGCAAACTGGGGGCAATGCTCTACATCTGGAAAGATGGAAAGTGAGTTCAGCATTCCCACCGTCAATGAGACATCCAGAAAAGTCTGAGTTCTTCTCATACATGGTGCATGTGGGGATGTGGGAGAAGTTGCAGAAGAATCATGTGTGGCCTGGCAGGGAGAGAGGCAAACCTTCTCTCAGAGGAGACACACAATTTGCTCTGAGATGCTCTCAAGAAGGGCAAGGAAACTCTTCCCTGAGGGACAGGTTGGAACTCCTGACAGCCCGAACCAAACACTCAATAGGTCCTCCATAAATTTATGATGCTCAACTGTGAAAAGCCCAACACACTCCAGGGAAGCTGATCTGCTGCATTTCATTTTCATCAGCACTGCTGTGGGGCCCAGTGGCCTTGTCCCAGTCTT